TTTTTTAAAAATAATTAAAACAGGTCTTTGTACTATATTATTAAAAAAACAACTAATGAATATAATAAATAATTTTGACTATTTCTCATTCTAAACTTATCGAATATTTTTTTTTTTAAATGCAAGGTAATCTTTTATAGAACCTACATGATTAACTTTTCTTCTAATAATAAAAAAAAAAACTCAAAAGAAAAACTATTATTCCTACAAATATTAGAGTAGTCTCCCTTGACAGTTTCTATTCGAATGTATTTTGTGTTAATTTTCGTTATGAAATACAGTTGACTGTTTAAATAAATTATATAAAAAAACAATCTATCTCTGTGTATATTTATTTAAAAAAAATATTATTACAATAATTAGAATAGGCGTTACTGGTTAAATAGCAATTATTCTCATTCTAAATCTTTGGCTATCGAGTTTCATCGGTTTTTAAATTTAAGATTATGAACACATTGGCTTGACGAAAATGATTATATACACTTAAATACATACTAAAATTTACTTTTGTTAATAAACCTACACTATTTTATGCACACATACAAAAAAGAATATTTTAGCGGCAGTTACAACGTCAAAAAAAAAGGAAACTCCTTTATACTGAATAGTTCTACGTAACAACAAAAATGTAAAAATACATAGTCCTAGAGCACACTAACACATACATATATACATACGAAGATATGTGTGTGTGTGTAAGTAGGATGTGAGGTGTGTAGACAGGCGGGGTGGAAGGAAAGCAGTTTGGCAGGAATAACGGTAGGTAGAAAAGTAGGTAGGCAGGCAGCAGCGCAGGCAGGTTAGTAGATAGGTAGGTATGTAGGCAGGGAGTTAGGTATGTAGGTAGGTGGGCCTAGGTAGGAAGGCGCCTCACTCGGTATAGTGAGCGATTATAGTAGCCCATCATATTCATAGCGTTTCGCAATTATTAAAACGAACAAAGGTACCATAGTACTCACGGGAAAACCCGGGGAGCTAAATGGAACCCTGCCAGGGCGCCACCAAATCGAATTTTTTTTCGTAGAAACCACCACAGGGGTATTAGCATTAACTTCTCAAATTCGAATGACAAACGAATGAAATCTTTGATAATGCTTAAACAAACAAACCCACATATTCGTTTTTGGGGCGCGGGTTTGTCCACACTGCCGCCTAGACGCACCAAGGCTCACTGTATGAAAGCCTTGAGTGTACGTTAATCAACCTCTGTAATAGTGAGGTAGAACACACATTGGCGACCGCCCATGTGTTAGAGACGCGTCCCTTGGCGCTCCAGGGAGCCACTGGTTATATTTCCGCAGGGGCGCCCCTAATTCGGTTTAATTATAAAATGTCGTGTGCCACCGTGTCCCTATTGTAGGGTGCTCTTTAAGGAGGCACTCTCTGTAGAGCCCGGGGCGCTCGCTGTCGCCAACTGCCAGGGCGCCGGCGGGCGCTCATTATTCTACTTAGTGAACATTTATAGTAGCCCATCTAAACCGTAGTGTCGCCCGAGATGGGTCTTGGCCGCTCTGGGCCATTCAACCGCTGGCGGATGAACCTGGTGTAGTTTTATCACTGAATCTCAGAGGCGTAGCACCATTCCTGGCGCCTGGGGACAAATTTTCAATTTGGCGCCCCCCCTCCCGCCGGAGACAAACTTTCAATTTGGCGCCCCATCCCCGTATTTTTTAAATATTTATAATGCAAAACTATAGCTAAAATGAGCTTTTAAATTTTTCCAACCATTTTGGCGCCCCTAGGGTTGGCGCCCGGGGACATATGTACCCCCGCCCCCCTCGCTGCGCCTCTGCTGAATCTAGTAATACCTATGACCGCAATTGATGAGATAGCCCCATCTGGATTCCCCTCTGGATTCTGAGCTCATAATCGTATGAGAAAAATCGAACCCTCCCAGGGTGCCACACTTAAGAATTTTTTTCTTTCTCGAAACCCTTTTCACCAACTACCCAAAATTTTATGACTCTCGTACGAACAGTGTCAAATTGCATCTGGCTTTTATTTTTATGGAGAAAAATTGCATTGCTTCCTGTCAGAGACCCCAGATCGAATGGGGCGCCAAAAGGGGTAGACAATTTTTTAAAAATCCTCATTCTTCAGTAAAATTTAAGAAAACAGATTTATACATGACTGATATCCTCAATTATTTATTCATATAGGACAAACAGATAAACAATCTTTCATTTCTATAAATATAAATAGATATATAGGGCCTACTTTAACTAGTGTCCGCATACCCGCACCCGGAAACTTAGTCACAATTTTCTTTGTTACATTTGAACCCTTTAGGTTAATCAATATTAACAAAATTGAACAAGATGCAACAAATACAGTTAACCAAGAAATTGAACAAATAAAATTCACGTTATCTTTTTATTGTTTTTAGATATAGAGTAGTAACAGACTACCTACAGGTCCTAACCAGTGGCGTAGCGAGGTCGGGTGTCACCCGGTGCGGCACTTAATGGTGTCACCCCCCCCCCCCCCCCCCCCCCCAGAGGCATAGAGACCCTTCCCAGGGACAAACTTTCAAATTTTCGATTTGCACCCCCCCTCAAACTTTCGATTTGCACCCCCCCCTCGAGTTTTCGATTTGCACCCCCCCCTCGAGTTTTCGATTTGCACCCCCCCCCTCAAACTTTCGATTTGCACCCCCCCCCCCTCGAGTTTTTCTCTATATATTTTGCTATTTTTTGCCTTGGTGTCACCCCCCTAAATGGTGTCACCCGGTGCGGTCCGCACCCCCCGCCCCCCCCTCGCTACGCCCCTGGTCCTAACTCGCGACGAGGTACACATTTGTATTAAAACACACATCTAAGACATTTTCCATTTAGGTGGGTTTTGCAGTACGGTGGTTTCTTAAGTCGTGGACAAGTGATTGCGCTTATCTCTGTTGAGTAGCTATGTATTCTGTCCTATATTAGACACATTGGTAAATATCTGTCACAATATGGGCATAGAGATGATATAACGATAGCTTATCTTTGCGGACGACGCTAAACTTTGGCATCGACACCACGGCCTACAAGTTCAAATTCGGTCCTTCAGAAATGTTTGAAGTCTCTAGATTAAAACTACTTTTCTCTTTTTTGTACCTACTGACCACATCACATGCATTTGTTCTGAAAGTCTAAAAACAGAGGAACAAATATATCGTCTAGACTTATGAGGTCTACAGATTAGGTATTTTGGCAGTTATCTAAGCCCTTGCCTGTTCTGACTCAAAGCCTTATTCTTTCTCTATCGACGCCTTGCGTAACATGGGATTGGGTTTTTAAGGCGGCATAAAGCTTTATGTTGTTCCTTTTTGAGTACACTAGATTAAAAACTAACGTTTTCAGATGCCTAAAGATGTTTAACCACTAATTAATCAGAATAATGGGTCAAGATTTCAATTCTTGGTTTTGGGACACGTTAGTTGCCGGGGTTGAGCTAATGTCGATAGCATAAGGACTGTACCTTGATGCGGGCGTTTTATTTGTTGCCCATCGTAATAATTGAATGGTTGATGGGGCTTCTTCAAGGGTTTGATTTGCCGTAATGTTAATGATATCATGCATGTGCGGCTTTTCTAAGAAGAAAATGCGTTTAAACACTTTTTAGTTATGCTTTTTTTTAAATAGGCCTATATTTTACGACATCATAATCGTAATGAACAATAAAATGAATTTAAACAACTTTAGAATACACCTGTTTCGGCTAACATGAATGTTATTCTTCAAACTAGTAATGTTAAACGTGTCTTTTTCGCATTTTCGACTTATAAGCAATACAGTAAATTCCGATAACGTCCATATGCATACAAGCAATGGCGTAGGCGAGGAGGGGTTTAATAGTGATTTAATAATGATACTTTCTTAACCCTCTACTGGACATCATGTTTGGTACCTTGCCCCCGGCAACTGGGTGGATTTGGATTACACCCAAGTTTTACTTCATAGTAAATGGCTTCAGTTTTAATTGTTGGAGTTGGTAGCAACATTGACACAGTTGAAGGTATTCAGAACAAGGTGGCCAGGAGAAATCACATTAATTAGTATATAATTTACCATTACTAACAATAGGCCCTACTTAATTGTTTAATGTTGCTGGATATTAAGCCTGGTAGGTATTTATGTTTATTAATTTGTACAGAAACATAAAAAGGATTCCCAAACAAAGTTTTATTTTTCAGAAATAAAGAAAATGATACAAATCAATAAAAAACAGTTTTCAAAAGAATGTGTATAAAAGTAATTATTATAAAATAAGAATATAGCATTGCATAGATAAAAATAAAATACTTGACACAAACAATATGAGGAATATTTTTTATCAGAGAAGAGAAAAATATATGATGTAGTTTGAAAATAATAATGTACAGAATGTAGCTTTTGCAGATTAAAATGAAAATGCTCATGCCTATATAATTAATTGAGTAAATGAAGCAAGACCCAAAACAATAGGCTAAATAATATGCATGGGACAGGCATTGAAAACTACAAATTGCATATAGTGAAGGTTACCCTATTTATTGGCTATATCCACAGTAAAGATGTATGGCTTTATTACCTGCTTGTAAAATTGTTAAGGAAAAAGTAAAGTATTGTTAACTTTTTATGGCAGACCAACTACGGGCTGTGTTCTGGGAACATGTCATCTGTAAGGGGCATTGTTCTCGGCACATGTTGTCATTTTTTGTGTTCTCGGCACATGTTGCCATTTTGTGTGTTCTGGGAACATGTTGCCATTTTGTGTGTTCTGGGCACATAATGACATTTTGTGTGTTCTGGGAACATGTTGCCATTTTGTGAGTTCATGGAACATGTTGACATTATTTGGCTGTGTTCTGGGAACATGTTGCCATTTTGTGTGTTCTGGGAACATGTTGCCATTTTGTGAGTTCAGGAACATGTTGACATTATTTGGCTGTGTTCTGGGAACATGTTGCCATTTTGTGTGTTCTGGGAACATGTTGCCATTTTGTGAGTTCAGGAACATGTTGACATTATTTGGCTGTGTTCTGGGAACATGTTGCCATTTTGTGTGTTCTGGGAACATGTTGCCATTTTGTGTGTTCTGGGAACATGTTGCCATTTTGTGAGTTCAGGAACATGTTGACATTATTTGGCTGTGTTCTGGGAACATGTTGCCATTTTGTGTGTTCTGGGAACATGTTGCCATTTTGTGTGTTCTGGGAACATGTTGACATTATGTGGCTGTGTTCTGGGAACATGTTGACATTATGTGGCTGTGTTCTGGGAACATGTTGACATTATGTGGCTGTGTTATGGGAACATGTTTGTTTCATTTTTAAATATTATAATAAAACATTTTTAGAAATTCTATATTAGGAATTGTGTATATATATAAATTTATATATTTAATAAGACAATTGGATGAATTATAATAAACAGCAAAAATGATTCAAATAAGTTTAGAAGTATTTGGCTTGCTGTCCTAACAGTGAACTGTATTGCGAGATTGTTTCCCTAGTGATAACTCATTTTTTTTGTGCGACCCTTCCAATCAAGTATCCAGCTTTTTCTTGGCCTGTATCAAAATGCTGGTCAGACTTGCTTGACTTGTGTATCACAATATGATTTTGAATGTTTTTCTGTAAATGAAATAAAGGCAAAATATTTTGATACTTTCTTTTGTGGAACTTGCAAGAAAAATAAATTACAAATTTATATTACTATCTCTAATATTTCTTTACTATAACTAATTACTTTGAAAAGATAAAGCACTGAACATGATGAATAACAAGAAACAAACATTATCAGCAAAGATTATAGATTTAAAATTGTATTCATTCATATTGAAGATTAATGAAGTAGACTATCAATATTTACCCTCTTGATGGCTGATACTTTGATTTGATGTCTTTACTTTAAGCTTACACATCAGTCTCTGTGTGGTAAAATATGAAATAATATGCTTCAATAAAACTGTTTCAGTATATTAATTATATTAGATAAGTACATAGTTTTGAGCTCTATAACAATATGTGTTTCAATTATCATTCAAATATAATACCCTCTATGTTGTACAACTCACTGATTTATTAGAATTTAAAAAAAGACAATAATTAATAAAATATTTTGGATTAAAATCCATTATATTTATTATAACATACAATGCTATCTCTTGCTATAATAATTACTTTAAAAAATGGGTTATGCCTATAGTACAGTTACCTGAGGATGAAACTAGGCACAGTGTATAGTCCACGGAGACTGATTAATATCCCTTGTAATTGAACATCAGTTGTAGTTATGAAATCTGGATGGCCAAACACACACTCATAGTCCTGAAAAGCAATTTACACATAGATTAGCAAGAATATCTCACAAATTATTAAATTAAAGCTAACCCTTATTTAGTGCAATCCATCAAAGTAGTAGCATTTTTCGTTAAGTTGTAGACACAATACAAAGTAATGTTTGGTCTGTGATTTACATACTTTTATAAAATAGCAATCAAATTATATATATATATATATATATATATATATATATATATATATATATATATATATATATATTCATTGTAAATTTTAGCTATGTCTTGCTATTAAATTTATTTACTCGACTGATCTAAACTCACTTTATTTAAACATAATATAGTGGATAAGTATAGTGATTTTATTTTTCAGCAATAAATAGCAGGCCTAAAGAAAATTAAATGGTAACGTTTGCGAATGAACACATTAAATTCTATGTATTTCCATTTCTATGTCTATCCCACCTTGATCCATATTACTAACCAAGCATTAAACTATAGTCCTAAACCTGACTCTAATTACCATTTATTGGACAACCTGAACCTTTGCGATACCATGTTATAATATATTATTTTAAAAAAGAGCTTACCACTAATTACTAAAATCAATTGTTTTTAGTATTAACTGAGCCGCATACTATCTGCTGCTATTGTCATCACCAGAAATCCAGTATGTTGGCAAAGATTAGTCTCTAAGTTCCCTGCAACCTCTTTCCTCTCGAGTGCGGAAAACACTGAAATCATTAATCATTATTTCATTATGCCTAATAGTTTAAAGGTAGTATTAAAGTAGTACTAAATAGTACGAGTCTAAGTTACTATAGGTCTAATGATAATTATTATTGTGTATGCTTACATGCTTTAAGTTTTATGCACAATATTGGTATATAATATATAGTCTATAGTATATAGCCTAAGCTATAGAGTATATAGGCCTATGAGCCTAAATATAATAGCAGCTTGAATAACGCTCATTAGCATGCATTCACTATAAACTATAAAGATAATCAAATATTTCAATTTAATTAAATTATAACTAATAGGCCTAATAGTAAATAGGCTTTTTTCTTGTGGCAACAAATTTAAAGTATAGGGCAGTACAGTTATAGTATAGGCCTACTAGATTCTATATTTAAGTATGTGGGCTTTTCATTCCAATGCACCACAATAGATACCACACATGATCAAGCTGGACCTCTGATCTAAAGATTTAATAATTGGGCCTAACAAACAGTGAAACTACAATAAAAATTATGTAAATTACTAATTTAACCTTTTTACATCCGCTTCTCTAGATTCCTATTCTATTTCCTTCAAACTTTCTTTTTATGCAGCCGTATGATTAGATTCTAGACTATATTCTAATAAACATGAAATAACTACTAACCAGAACACTAGATCTAAATTTCTATATTCTATGCAATATGTATTAAACCTATAGGCCTAATATTTATTTTAAATTCCTATGCGATGTGTCGTTAACTGTAGGTTTCATGTTATTTTTTTTAATGGCGGAAATCAGTTTAAAATTTCGTTTCCTTCCTTTTGTTATTCTATTTATAGATTCAAACTGCTTAGAGACGGAGCAATTATCATTGAGTTAGTCGGCTGATCCACACAGGAAGTGCGGGTATATCTATATGTTACTCAGTGATCTGATCATTGACAAATACAGAGATAGCCATTCGCATGGGGTGCTCTCTCTCTCTCTCTCTCTCTCTCTCTCTCTCTCTCTCTCTCTATATACTATATATATATATATATATTTATATATATATATATATATATAATATATATATATATATATATGTATATATATATATATATATATTATATATATATATATATATATATATATAAATATATATATATATATATGTATATGTATATATATATATATATATATATATATATATATATATATATATATATATATATATATATATATATATATATATATATATATATATATATATATATATATATATATATATATATATATATATATATTACTAAAGCGCCCGATCCCCCCCGAAGATGCCTGGAAGAAACTCTGTTTACTGGTCTAAGGTCTATCTATCTATATATATATATATATATATATATATATATATATATATATATATATATATATATATATATATATATATATATATATATATAGTCTGCTGTAATATTTTGAGAGGGTTTTATCATTGCGTTACCACTCCTATATTCTTAGACGTATAGCCTAACACGAAGCTATTTAAACGTAAACAATACCTGAGCGATATTTATTGGGCCATATTTGTCGGGGAAAGGATTTGCCCACATTACCGTCCAGCAGAGGCGTAGCGACCCTCCCCGGCGAACACCCCCCTCAAACTTTCGATTTGCACCTCCCCCCCCCCCCTCAAACATTTCATTTGCACCCCCCATCAAACTTTCAATTTGGCGCCCCCTAAGGTCGGCGCCCGGGGACATATGTCCCCCCCCCCCCCCCCCCGCCACGCTACTGCCTACCAGCATGTGTGCTGTATAAAACCTTTGAGTGTATGTTAATCACATTCCGTATTAGTGAGGCAGATCACACTTCGGCGACAGCCCATGAGTGTGGAAAGTAGAGCGGCGCTCTCGGGAGCTCCTGGTTAAATAAATGCAGGGGCACCGTGTACGGACCCTGGTTCTGTTTAATTTTTAAATCTTCGAATGTCTTGTGCCTATGAGTCAATATTGTAGGGTGCTCTTTAAAACTAACGTAGGCGCCACAGTGCTCACATGATAGCCTAGGGCGTCTAATCGCACTCTGCCGAGGCGCCGGATACTAAAATACTATAGTACCCCAATGTATACATAGCCTATTGCATGATTTAATTTAGTGAGTTGTTATAGAACCCCATTCTATCCATAGCCTAGCGCACTCTTTCAAATGAACGTAGGCGATAAAATGCTCACAGGGGAGTCCGAGGCGCCTTAGGCCCCGCAATCGCTGGGCGCCGGCGGCTGCGCCTGTTGCAGTTTTACCGCTGAATATAGTAGTACCCATTACCCAGTATGCAGGACGACCAGTTAACAGATACCAAGTGCTAAGACAGCTGTATTTTCATCAACTCTCCAAAAATTTAGGGCACTAGGATGAACGGTATCAAACCGCATCAGACTTTTTATATACCGTAATATAGAGAAAAATAGCTTGCTGGTGCGCCGCCCTTGTGAAATTGAATCTTTCTCCGCATCCGCCCCTCCCCAACACATACAGAAAGAAACCTATTCATCAATGGTAGTAATGCCATAAGGACAAATCAACAAGCAAACCCACATACATTCATATATATATATATATATATATATATATATATATATATATATATATACATATATATATATATACATATATATATATATATATATATATATATATATATATATATATATATATATATACATATATATATATATATATTTATATATATATATATATATATATTGGTCTAGATCTATATATCATAACAGCTGATTCAATCATATTAACAAATTGTATCTTATGTCTTAAAAATTTAATAATTTTCAGCTACATTAATTAATACATTTTGTTGCTCACTTCAATTATTATAATTATGATTAACTTAATGGGTTATATAATTATTTATACAAAATTTAGAATTACATAAAATGGAATATATTCAATATAAAAAAAATACAGAGTAAATATTACTTCAATGATTCAAATCATAATTGTACATTTAAAGTGTTGTTGTTTATTACTGGTTAGTATTATTGTATAAGTAATGTAATGGGTAAGAATTTAGGCATCATTTTTTACAAAAAACCTGAACAAAGCTAGCCAAAAACACCTAGTACAATATAATAAATGTACTATAGTGATTCATGACATCCATTCTTTCCATGAAGTATTTCTTCCTTTGTGTGAATATTTAAAAATTATCATGTTAAATCATTTTTAATAACTTTTTTAACTTTGTTTAAATTTCATGTTTACAACATAGATGCACACAATTTAAAAACATTAGTTACAAATAATACATTAATTTTACTTATCTTCAAAATGAAATGTCTAGATATCATATTAATCATTCCCAATACTTTGTTTGACAAATAATACTATGAAGAGTATTATATCCTGTATGACAAACATTAATGGTGTGTTTTCAGCCTACACAATGTGGTATTAGTAAAAAAGCAATAATTTTATATATAGATAATTGAAGATCCTTGTGAAAGAGAATTTAATGACCAACAACACATTCAAGTCCTGAGTGAAAATTTGTGTGTGCAGATAAACTAGACTTACGAGCAAACTTTTTATTACAAATATCACATTCATATGGTCTCTGGTAAATGAATATTTTTATGTTTAGATAAACTACCTTTATAATTAAATTTTTTGTGACACACATCACATTCATATGGTCTCTCTGGTAAATGAATATTTTTATGCTCTGATAAATCACCTTTAAAATTAAATTTTTTGTTACACACATCACATTCATATGGTCTTTCTGGTAAATGTATATTTTTATGTGTAGATAAATTACCTTTACGATTAAATTTTTTATGACACACATCACATTCATATGGTCTCTCTGGTAAATGAATATTTTTATGCTCTGATAAATCACCTTTAAAATTAAATTTTTTGTGACACACATCACATTCATATGGTCTCTCTGGTAAATGAATATTTTTATGTGTAGATAAATGACCTTTAGATTTAAATTTTTTATGACACACGTCACATTCATATGGTCTCTCTGGTAAATGTATATTTTTATGTGTAGATAAAGAACGTTTTTTACTAAATTTTTTATGACACACATCACATTCATATGGTCTCTCTGGTAAATGCATATTTTTATGTTTTGAAAAATCATCTTTATGATTAAATTTTTTGTGACACACATCACATTCATATGGTCTCTCTGGTAAATGTTTTTTTTGATGTCTAGATAATTGATCTTTATGATTAAATTTTTTGAGACACACATCACATTCATATGGTCTCTCAGGTAAATGAATATTTTTATGTTTTGATAAATCACTTTTATGATAAAATTTTTTGTGACACACATCACATTCAAATGGTCTCTCTGGTAGATGAACATTTTTATGCTCTGATAAATAACATTTATAATTAAATTTTTTGTGACACACATCACATTCATAAGGTCTCTCTGGTAGATGAACATTTTTATGCTCTGATAAATCACCTTTATGATTAAATTTTTTGTGACACACATTACTTTCATATGGTCTCTCTGGTAAATGAATATTTTTATGTTTTGATAAATCACTTTTATGATTAAATTTTTTGTGACACACATCACATTCATATGGTCTCTCTAGTAAATGAGTATATTTATGTTTTGATAAACTCCTTTTATAATTAAATTGTTTGTGACACACATCACATTTATATGGTCCCTCTGGTAGATGAACATTTTTATGCTCTGATAAATCACCTTTATGATTAAATTTTTTGTGACACACATCACATTCATATGGTCTCTCTGGTAAATGAATATTTTTATGATTTGATAAATTACGTTTATGCCTAAATGTTTTATGGCACACATCACATTCATATGGTCTCTCAGGTAAATGATTATTTTTATGTTTTGATAAGTTACGTTTATACCTAAATTTTTTGTGACACACATCACATTCAAAAGTTCTCTCTGGTAAATGAATATTTAGGTGTGTAGATAAATGACCTTTATGATTACATTTTTTATTACACACATCATATTCAAATGGTTTTTCTCCTGAATGAATCTTTTTATGATTTGAAAAATTACCATTAGTACTTAATTTTTTAAGACACACATCACATTCATATGGTCTCTCTAAATGGTTTGCTAAATGATTTTTAATATGATAATTTTTATGACACACATAGCAATCATATTGCTTATTAATTCCAGAATGAATATTTGTGTGTGTGGATAAACCAGGCTT